ACAAACACACACACAAACACAAACACACACACAAACACAAACACAAACACAAACACACACACAAACACAAACACAAACACAAACACACCTCTGTCTACGCGCGGAAGACAAATGTCTATACGCTCGGAACCCTGCAAGTCCCTGCGCCCTTCGTCACGCAATCACACCCCGACTTCTCTACTTGACTAGCAGCCCTTGCGTTGGGTAGATCTTCAGGCGAAAAGTCTGCTGGCAGGTCTTGGTACCCCATGTGCATGTTGTTGGAGGGAAATCAAAGGAAAGATGGGTGTTTACGATACATCTTACGTAAGTCGGTATTTTCCTCCAGGTTGCATTTTCTACGTTTCTGCGACATGTCTCAGCACTGTGGATAACTAGCGTTATTCCAAGTTTATTGCTTTCAGCTATCAGGGCAAAAATAATCTTGATGCAAACCCACATGAAGAAGAATTGCATGGATATCGAGTCAACATCCATGGTTGCACCCTGAAACATCAAGTTGACGCAAAGCCTGATGTCTGCGCACCCTTTTTCGGTCTGCTCGCAGAACCACCTGGGCCGGAGGGCGTCTTTTGGCGACCCTTCAGGCGGAATTGAAGGGCCAACAAAGGGGGTGACTCAAGATGCCTGTTAAAACATGCTTGCCACACGCCCTTTCTTTAACAATTTGCTTGACATATTTAAGCAGCGTTTTCACTGAGCTAAAGAGACCTTTTGAAAGGCTTGTTGGAGGAAATTAGGATGTGTGAAGGGAGACTGAAGAACCCTCGGGGGTGCTCGGCTCGTTGAAGGGAAATACAAAATATAGTTGGACCCCCATCTTGCTCCTTTGAGACAGATAGCTGCTATGTGCAGCGCAGATGGGGGCAAGTTAATTCGATCAAGACCCAGGTACCGTTAAATGGGAACATTTGAAACCCAAGGAAGTGTGTTCTGACAGTGGAATGCTGGCTTCAAACAATTTGGAGGTAGGCCAAGATTTGGCACATAGCCAACCTTTGCAAAGTGTTTCAAACAGTTCGGAACCAGTCCAGGCTCAAATAAAGTTGAGCAGAGTAGCCCCCCCTTTGCTTGCCACTGGCAACGTCCGGCAAGCAACAGTGAGTCTGAAAACTGCCAATACATAGGCGATGAAACCACTCATGCGAAGGAGTACCAGCTCAGGAAGTACCATCCCGAACCTGAAGTTCAACAAAAAGAAAACCAAAATCCTCAATCCACATCGAAACACCCCATGCCACTTCACAACCCCCAACAAAAAGAATGCCCGCCCCGCTGGCCCTGGGCCAGCCTCCGCCTCACAGGAAGTCGCGCAGGCGGCGCTTTTTGTGGGGGCGGCACGCCATGGCCTGTGCGACGGGTAACAGCCCTCAGCAACTCAAGTCTTGGAGGCTGAGCGAGGCCAAACCAAACTCTGTGTTGGTTCCCCAATGGATTCCCTGGTGCCACTAGTCTCCAAACTGCTTATGGTTTTTTTTGAAGTGCTAGGGGGGGTGAACGGGGGGAGGGTGGGGTGATAATTGGATTCTCACGGAACCAAGGTTCGCCACAAAACCTGAACTAGCGGGACCCAGCTTTTGGACTCGGCGTTCTGTGCCTTTCTCCCTGGCCTCCCAACATTTGGAGTTCTCGCCGGATTGACAGCTACAGAACTTTGCTGGCGCTATGCCAAGCGTCGCGATGAGCAACAGTTGCACTGTAGGGGTTGTGTGCGTGTGTCTGATGAAATCGAACAAACGCAAGAACATGGTATCGGAAGCGGGCTGGTCGCAGAGCAAAGTCAATCATGCCGTGTGCCAATGAGATTTGGATTGCAGAATCACAGAGTAGTAAAAATCGGACGAAGCACATATGAAAATTCAGCCCACAAAGAAGGGTGTGGCAAGAAATATATGTGTTTGTTGGCAATTGCTATTCCAACGCGGCGCGAATTAGAGTGGGTCCGGAGTAGCGCCGGTACCTTGTTCCTCAGGCACCCTGGTTCATGCTCTGAGGTAAGACAGCTGCTGATTTCGCTTTCCTGTGGTTTCCTGGCAAATTCCAGAAGGTTTGGTTCTGCCGAAACGCAGAGGTTCCACCGTTCAAACTCAAAACCTGGCAGAGGAGAGTGAAAATAATCGAAAGGGTAGATGTTCGTACTTCTTTGTGGCAAGGGAATTGTCCCCAATGTTCTATCCTTCCTCCTACCCGTTCGATTTTGATTGTTGCACGCACAAGACCCTTCCTGGGCCCTCACCACGTCCTATGGAGATCTCCGCAAATTTGGACAGCGTGTCTTCTGATTTATAAACCTCCAACTGTGCGCAGACCTCAAAGAAATCCACCACACATTGAAGCTCATGGGTCAAAGGCGATCCGTTCGGATAGGAACCCAACCCTCCCACTCCCCCGCGTACACACCGCGCGCCTGGAAGGGCATACTGGCTTGGATGACTGCTGCGTCCGGCGAGGGTTTGGCCCTAAAGCCGCTGCGCCGATCGGCAAGCTTGGCAAGCATCAGGTTGAATGTCCAAGTGGGGGTGACCCTCAAAAGTGCAGCCACTTTCAGGAAACCAGAAAAAGGACAACCTGGCGAGCATCGCATCTTGCCAAACAGCAACCCTAACCAATTGGGTGTAAAATGAGGGGATCCAAAAAGTTGCCGGTTTTTGATTCCCTTCGAACCAACCTCAAGAACTGTACCGAGTACCGAACCCACAATATCGAGAATGCTACTTATGACGTCAATTCCGGCTCATGAAAAAGCTGCACCCGGCCTGGGCATGGGGCAATTGGCGTCAATCAGCTTTGCCACGTTCTTCAGATAGGGGCTCTGGTACCTTGGGCCAAAGGTGATGTGCTTCCAGGGTTCCCCATGTATACTCTTTTGGCTTCTGCTGCTGCGGCCAAGTCTTGCACTACTGCATTACTGCTGTCATGACTTTTGGGAATAGCTGCCCTCCACTACGAATGTTGCCACCACCATTAATGACTGAAGCGCAAAGACCACTAGCACTCAACAGTTCACAACTTCAGCGGTCAAATCACTGCTTCCGGCCACAGCAAATGCCGGGAGGGAAGCGTACTGGGAATCGTCCAGACCAGGACTCCCCCTCCAAATAGTCATGCTTCATTCGGGCTTCCTAAAAGATGGACCAACACCAGTGGCTTGCTAACTTCCGTACATCCCCACAAGGCGGTCCAGTACACCTCTGTGCAGGTAAGTCACTGCTCAAGGTTTGCCTCTCGCAGGGCGGCGCAGTCCTCTTTTGACCAGCTGCCCCTATCCTCAGAAGGCCATGGCAATTCAAACCATTGTCATGGTTCTCTGCATAGGACTCCTTGGTTCTCTAAATTATCCATCAAGAATTCATGAGCATCGCTACCAACGAGCAAATGGTTGTTCTGACAAAGGCACATACAAGGGCGGAAAGTCCCATGTCGCAGACCAAACCGCGGCACGGTTCCGCGACCACCTATGCGAATGTGTGTGTGTGTGTGCCAAACTTGATTTCAAAGGTATTTCTCGGCCCTCCGCTTGCTTTGTGGTTTGAACTAAAGTGTCTTAACGATGTTCAGGCGGCCCAGAAACTTCTGCTGAGCTGACAGTCGCATGTATTTATAGACCGCAGTCTCTCTGACTTTTTTGGCTGCTCCATGCTCGTGTTGCTCACATAGCGGTTTTGCAGGGGGCAGGAGCGCAATGGCAAGTCCCCTACACTTGGACTGATCATCCCAGCGTACCTGCAATCTTGATTATTCGGGCAAGCTGTTACACAGACCACTTGGCTGCGATCCGCGACCAGCTACCGCGAGGACAAGGAAACAAACAAACGGCCACTAGAAATCGCAGGTTGTCTGTGATCAGCTTTGAGAACTGCACAGCTAAGGTAACAGGGACATGTCAGATGACCGGAACGTGCCTTGGCGTCGATGGCAAGATGGGCTCAGTACTCCCTGTGTCTGTGTGTCTGTGTGTCTGTGAGTGTGTGTGTGTGTGTGTGTGTGTCTGTGCGTGTGCGCGTGGAGTGTGTGCCTGCGTGGGTGGGAGGGTGCGTGCGTGCGTGGGTGCGTGGGTGGGTGCGAGGGTGCGGAGGTGCTTGAGTATGTGGGGTGGGTGTGCGCGTGCGCGTGCGGGTGTGGGTGCGGGTGTGTGTGTGTGTGTGTGTGCTTCTTCTGAAGCTTGTGAGACTGGACAAGCCGTTCAAACAGTGGTCTTTCAAAGAAAGGATCATTGAGCAGCGCCCTAATGATAGAAAGGTGTATATTGGGGGAGGGGTTCTCAAAATAGGGGAACGCCAAAATGGGTGGTGTCCTTTTGGTTTCCCTGTAAAACCATCCAAAAAGGGGCAGGTTACTCACAAAAAAAACAACCCCATATATAGGCTTTCCTTGGGGGTCCCCCACTTCGCGCAGAATCCAACCCCTGCCCCAATAGGCAATAGGAATTTGTGGACCCTGGCCACATCCGTGCTGCTGAACTCCCTGGCACAAGAGTAGAGATGGTACCTTCTAGCCATGAGGTTTGGTCATCTTTTGAAGGAAGGAGCAACTCTGCAAATGGAGCAAACTGGAAGTCCTGTCGGAATCCCCCAGTCCCACAAGGGCAATGCCCCCAGCCAGTTGGGAAACATCGAAAACGAGCCATCTGGTGGCTTGGAATGCAGAGGTTTCCAGGGTCCAACTAGATTTCTTCTGAAACATCGATCTGCGCCGAGTCGACCACAATACATGCAATATGGCGCCAGCAAATGTGCACATCTCAAAACTAGGCACCCCTCCAGGTGGTTGGTGTCCTTCTGGTTTCCCTTTGGCGTCCTCAACAAAGACACACCCTAACAACAATTTCAGGGTCTGAAATCGCTCCTCCCCATTGCCACTCTCTGCTCCTGCAACCAAAGCTCCGATTCCTCATCCAGAATCCCATATTGCGAGAGCAGTGTGACGCTGCCGTCCTCGCTACGGTCACCAAGGTCAGAAGACAGGTGTTTGGCTGCCAAAATACCCCCCAAAAAAAAGACAAACCTCAACAGAGAGTGTCACATTAAATTTTCATCTTGAGTTGCCGCCTGAACATTCTCTGTGCTCTCAAGAACCTTACCTCTTCATGGCCGCACCATATAAAAAGCGACTAACTGCTTCCTCAAAGCGCTCTCATCTGCAAAATCGGCACCACATATTTCAAATCCTCCTGGTTTCCGGAAATCGTGGCAACCGCTTGAATAACTTTGGCCATCATGCCTTTCCAAGTATCCCAAGTCTACGCATGAGTCTTTGTCAGATTGGGGAGTCAGCCCATCATTGGTCCTCTTCACACCGCGTCCCCCAACAGGGTCCAAACCTGTCTTGACACGTTGGTTTATCTCCAATGTCAAACCGCCTTGTTGATCCTGTTGACAGTCAAACCAAGAAAAACCCATTTTTTTGTTCAGGAAGCAGCTGCTTTGCCAACCTCTTACATTGATCTTTTTGCCTCTTGGTGAATGGGCCCCCAGGGGGTCCAAAACCAGTTCCCGGTTACTCACCTGGCACAACTCCTTGTGGTCATGGCCATGATTCCCTGCAAAAACAGATCCTTACAACACTTGTCACCCCAAAAGCGTCCACCATCCCAACTCAGATCTCAGATCCGATTCCTTGGGAGGGTGGTATGCCACCAGCAGCTCGTCGCCGGCCTGGCATTGGTTTTACTCACTCAAGTGGATTGGCCATAGTCCAAACCCAAGTCCGGGAGCGTGCATTCTGAAAATCATCTTCTATTTGGTAGCTTAAAGGGAAACAACCCCAGCTTCTTACTTTGGTATCCAGAAATTGCCCAAATCATGACCTACAACTGGTTAGTTTCCTTTCGGTGTCCCTTTAAACCCCATTCACAGAGGGTCCCTGTGTTTTTGGAAAGAGCCCACACAGACTCCACTTTTTCCCCCTCTGAATAGGCATGAAATGTCTGGCATCTGCGTCAAGTGAAAACTAACCCTCTTTCCACTAGTCATTGGAGTGGACAGGAGGGTTTGGAAGACTGCAATCATCTCAAAAAGGAATTCTGCCCGCTTTCATGATTGCTGGCAAGCAAACAGACGAGTGCAATAATTCAATGATCCCCTTTTCGGCATGTCAGGCCTTGATCGCCCGGCGTGTGGTGAACTTTAGCAAGTCGCGCTCGCAGTAGTAAACCTGCGTGTGAATTTCCCGAAAGCACAAGTGAGAAGTCGCCGACCCGCGGCATTGATCTTCTTAGTGGCAAAACATGCAGCTAAGTTGCCACGTTGGGGGTCGTGGAATGATTCACCATATCCTTAGCATCACAACCCATCGCCGAAGGCTCAGCAAAGCACTGCCCAGCTCCAGGACTGAGATCCACGCACCGATTGGTGCCATCGTCATATGGCCTTCGCCGCCACCTTGAGCTGTGGGCATGTTACAGGCCAAGATGATTGGTGTTTACTGATGGCAACGGGTAGAAGCGCTGCTGTTTTTTCCAGGGCTGGTATTTTCCAGGTCTGGCAGAAAGAAAGGCAGCATCTTCAGCATCGCCAGTATCATTTGGACCAGCTTGGTGTCAACCAACCCGGCTGGCTGAAGCTGTTTCAAGTGATGCTGGTGATGCTGGGGATGCTGCCTACTCAGCCAGCCGCTATCCAACCATCTAACCATCCAATCATCTAACAACTTACCAACCTACCAACCAGCCTACCAGCCTGCCTGCCTGCCAACCAATCCAATCCAATCCAATCCAATCCAATGCAAGCCAAGCCATCAACCAATCAACCAATCAACCAATCAACCAACCGACCAACCCACCCACCCACCCAACCAACCAACCAACCAAGCAGAAACACACACGCCTCCTTGCCAATTGGACTCAGGATAAATAAACTCGTTGTGGATTGATAGGATGGTTGATTGATATGGGGTGGCCCGTTTGTAAGGGGATGCTTTCGCCCAAACCCCAGGTTTGTTGATCCTGGTGGACATCAGCAGGAATCCTCGGAAGATTTGGTCGGTGAACCCTGCTGCGGGCCTTTCTGTCGTGCAGCCCAGGCACAGTCGAAGGAGCGTGTAAAGGCTGCCATGAGACCCCAAAGACCATCCTTGACATGCGCAGGGCTCATGCATCTCCCACATGTGTAACAATCAAAGCTTGGTTCTGCCCAAACGACGCCAACCTCTCCTTCCAGCCAATTTCAGGCCTATCGCCGCGATGAGCGTTGTAGTAGCTCAGCTCTTTCTTCAGTGTGTCCTGTGCCATTCTGCGCCGCCACGAAATGCTTGGTACATGTCTGGTCGGCCATGACTGTAGATATCGTTTGAGCCTGCAAACTGGTGCAAACAAATATGAAAGCCGGACGCCCTCGAAAACCACCAAATCTTCACAAGCATCAAGGGAAATGTCTGAGGATCTCCCACGGCGCAAACAAAGCACTAAGTCGGAACGGCTGAAGCAAGGCATCCCCTGGCTTCCACCGTGCGCGCCTGCAAGTCCTGCGTCCAGCCGGGCACCTCAGTGTCGGCTGCCACTGCCTTCACAGGGAAAGAACAGTACCGGTGATAACCCTTGGCTTGCAAAGTGGTGAACTCTTTCACACCTTCCTGTTCCATTGACAGAAACAAGTGTCACAAGCATCGATCAAAGGCTTGCATATGTATATCTGTGCATCACCGGTGCTTGAAATCTTGCCATAGCAGATTGAAGGGCATGGACAGAAGTCTCTTTCAGCCAGGCCACACCACCAAACTTCGGCAGTCCTACTGCAAGAGCACGAGCCCGCAAGTCGCTCGAAGCTATGGGATCATATTCTTCAAAGGGAAGAGCATGTGTAGGACCATTGCCCAAATGAGCCGTGTTATTTTTAAAGGTGTGGGGCCTATACATACCTACTCGGAGGCTACGCGGCTGTCTTTCCCCCTAGGAATTTGGCTACGCGGAGGCTACGCGGAACATATTTGTTGATAAGTGGCTACGCGGGGGGCTGGTTGTCTACCTTTCATTCATGTTGCCTCCTGATTACTGCTTCCCTGCCTCCCTCCACGGAATTGACCGAGGTCTTTCCTATTTAGTGGGGATTAGGTGATTTCAGGGAGCCGCCAAGCTTTGAAACGGAGAGCGGAGCCACACAACGCCATCCTGGGTATAGTTCGGTTGCAAATTGGCAAGAAATGGTTCGAGTTCGCAGGCGAGTTGTGGCTTGAATCAAATTCGTGACCTCGGGAAAATGTGTTTGTTGTTTCTGGGTGTGATTCGCTGGTACTTACTGTGTAATACACCACCTGTCAAAACTAGGGATCCGCTTGGGCCGTTTGGAAAGGATGCCCGCTGCGAACCATCTGAAAGCTTCGCAAGCAAGTTTTGACACGCAACCATGTCTTTGAGTCTTTGATCGAAGCTCCTGCAGTACCCGTCTTTCAAACTCAATGCACCAAGCCAATAGGAGTGCGTCAAAACGTGAGTGTCTGTTTCTTGAGGGTATCTTGTCTAGATTGGTTCAAAGGAAACCAAAAAGATACCAGTCGGTTTCGGGGTCTCTGTTGAAAACCATCTGCCAAAGGTGCCCCCTCGTTGCTTTGACACAGGCCCATCCTCGGAGCTTCGAGAGCTCGTGCGTGGGCGCTGTGAGGGGCAAGCCCAGATTCTCGTAATCCTGACTAAAGCGAAGCAAACTCTCTTTCGGGCTACCGAAAACTGAAGATGATCTGTGGATGGGCAACATGCTGCAGTTGGTAGGTGGTTACTTCAGTGCTCGCGGCTTCATCCATCCCAACTGGCGCAAAGTGGCTGTGGGTCAAAACCCTAATTGTGGTGAACATCAAAATAGGTGGCAAATAGATGTTCATCCACCCCAAAATGGAGCCATAGGTTATGCCCCATGGCCAAGTGGATTTGGTCCGTCCACTACGTTCGTCGCAGCCCGCGCCTCGTATGTTGGAAGGCTATGCACCCACGCAGCCCAGTAGTCCTTCTCCGCATCACCGGATTCCTCGGCACTTCTGGTCTCAACCCTCAACTCTTTACCCAAAAGGCAAAAGAAACCTCTACCCAGAATAGCAGGTGAGCAATGTGAAAGGAACCCCGGCAATCAGCCTCCTCGCCCTCCTCCTCCTCCTCCTCCTCCTCCTCCTCCTCCTCCTCCTCCTCCTCCTCCTCCTCCTCCTCCTCCTGCACTCAGCGCAGAGAAGGTCGTAGGCCGAGCGGGGCTTCTGCTCAGCTATGGCGACCGGGTGGATCGGTGGCGTCCGCTGATCGACTCTCCTGCCTCTACTGCGGGGCTGTGCATCATCACTCGCCTTTGCAACATGCCACATCAGCAAAGCAACAACCCAAGGCGCTGCGAACCACTTCACTCCTAAAAGGCTCTAGGCCAGAGGCAAAATGAACGTGGTAAGCTGAGAGTTGGCCGGACGTGTGCGCGTGAGCGGACATGGCAGTGGGCATAGTGTGGACGACTGGGTGCCCAGAATCGGCCCGTTCTCTCGTCCATCCACTCGACCACACCATTTGTCCATCTACTCGCCCACTCGCAAATCCACTCGTCCAAACCCCCCTACTCCTGGGCGAACGTAATTGGCCGATCAAAATCCTTGCTTGTCAGGTGTTCAGCTAATGCTTAACTGTAAATCAAGTCCGCTGCTTAACTTCTGTTCGTTTCCGGGACCCTCTTGCCCGGTCCAACTGCGTCGAGGTTCCACCAGCCGATGCCGCAGCCAGCTTGGAAGCCAGGCGTTGGCGTTGTCCTCAGTTCGGCACAGCGGCAACCACCAGGAAACCGCAAGTGGCATGTCAGCACTATGTTGTTGTTCTTCAACACCAGCCAACAGGAATCCACTTACAGTCGGAAGAACATGCTCAACCCTCTTGCTCTCTCTATCTCTCTCCTCTGAACCTGGGTGTGATTGGTGTTTTGGCAACCATGAGCTTGGACAGTTGATTTTGGGAAACTTGGGGCTGGCGCGGACTCATAAGAGCAGGGTTGGTGGCCTGCGGCTACATGCAGCAAAATCCTTGCAACAAAGAACACTTGATTCGCAATCCAAACAAAGGCGCTTTCTAGACTCAGGGGCCCTGCAAATGGCAAATGGATTTCGTTCGATCTGACAGACATCCCAGAATGGAATCTTCTATCTTTGAAGCGCCGAGACGATTCCAGGAGCCAATCAGAACGGCCGGATGCGTTAGGTTCCCATCCCTCATGGGCGGCATAAACTATGCTTAAAAGGGGAACAAATGGGGGTTCCCAAAGAATGGAACCCCAAGCCCAAGGGCCCGGTTTCCACTTGGTGTCTTTTTAAACTTATCTGAAAGGGGTCGCAAAAGGAACCCGGAAATGGGCTTCTGCTTTCCCGTTGACCCAAAATCCGAAACGGGCCTGAAAAACATGTTTTTCCCCCCCCTCCAACTGCCAACCCCAGCTGCTGCATCGCTACCCAGCACCTCGAGCTTCTTCTCCGCCAACCAAAGCCTGGGACAAAACACTAAAATGGAATGCGTGTGGTTTGGAACCAAGGCCAGGAAAAGAGCAAATTATTTAGCAATTATTGAGCCCTTCATATCTTGGCCAGACTTGGACGTCCCCAAAACAGCTAGCTGTTTGCTGGCTACGAGGGAACATGAAAGGAAAGACACTGAGAAAAGCAGAATGTTAAAAACGAGAAGCTACGTCTGGTGATGATGTTGGCTTGTCGTCCCTTCTGGCCGGATTGTATGCACATTTGAGAGAGGGAGCGAAAAAGAATGTGCGAATGACTGACTTTTACATCTTCGACTTTGGCTGACCTTGCGATGAGACGATCGCAGGCATTCACTGCGCCCAGCAGCCCGTGCTTCGCATACCCACAGGCCATCTTGGAGACGGCATCATCCCCAACACCTTGGCGCAAGCGGGCGCTGGAACGAAAGAACAACTTGCCCTCGCAGGGCTTTGGCGGAAAATGATGCCAACTGAGTGTATCTCTGGGTGCCTCAATATGCTGGGAAATCACGGCCCTGTGTGGCAACATACCTTCTAGAGGTGAGAATCCAGCTGCGCTGTGTGTCTTCGAGCTCGAAGCGAGGGCACCCTACCCGTAGGGTATACCGCTGACGTGTTTTGTTGCGCCCCAAGCTCCTCCTCAGCATTGCCTGCATCACCTGCACGCAGGCTGGCCCAAACACTTGGACCCCAAAACATCCCCGGCCTCCCTGGCCTTGGGACGGGCTTCTGATGCCACGTTGCCCGACCTTTCAAAAAGTACTGCAAATACCGCGCAAATCGCCCCGGACAGTCGCGAGCATCCCCGCCAACATCCTCTGCATCCTCGCAAACTTCGCCGGCATGCCCGGCATTCCTGCATCACCAGCATCTGGGCGTTCCAGCATCCCTTACATCCCCTGCATCCCTCAAACCCTTCAAGAATAGCCCCCTGAGAGTAGGTAGGTTTGGTAGGCGGACAGGCGCAAGCAGGCAAACATGCACTCAAGCTAGGGTGGGTGAGCGCATGCTCAGTGTCAGGGGTGTTGGGCAAGCAACCTTTCGGCCTCTTGCGCGTGGGGGTTCGCAGCGAGCGCGTGCTTGGGTGGGCGCGTGGTGTGTGGGTTCGCGGGCAGCATGGGTGGGTGGGGGGGATGCGTTGGCAACCCGCCGGAGAAAGTAGACTCGAAGCGCTTTCCGAATTGGACCATTCTGGGTGGCTGGGCGCCCTGCAAGGCAGCCTGACTCTCTGCGGGAAGGTTGTGCGAGGTCGTCACAACTGCGCGGAGCAGGTCCGGAGGTCAGGCTCTGAAACAAGGTCCCGCCTAACCAGAGTTCTTCTTAGTGCTCCCCATCTCACCTGTCCGACAGGCCAGCGCAGCTGGTGATGGCGAAGCCCTAGGATATGCGGTTCCCGCCACGGACATTGAAAAACTGGTGAGTCCCCCTAGTTTTTGCGGGACACTCAGTGAGTCCCTCCAATTAAGCCATAGACTACTGGATTCTTGATAGGTTGACCGAACTTCATGTAAATGATGCCCACCAAAGGATCCCAAATTGGAAGTGACTTGGTTAAAAGGAAGACCAGGGGAAAAAAGTCCTATTCTTTTGAGGGGGGTCCCTTAGTTTGGCACCACGTCGAGCTGCAGCCAAGGAATCGATCTTCCTTCAGCATCTCATCCGTCACCTTTGCGAGGCCCAGACCAAACGCCACAAGGACACCAAAATGAGTGGCTTCCCTTTGACGTCTAGAGTTGCCTTTGGTTTCCTTTTGGTTTGCCTGTGAAACCCCTTTTGGTTTCCATTTTGGTTTCCCTTTGATTTCCCCTACAAATAAACAGAAAAGGCTCGCAAAACGAAAGCACGTTCGCAAGCACTTGCCACACTTGGCAGAAGCACCAACAAAACCCAACGCCAAACAGGAATCGTGGAAAAGGGTGTGGTCTGTGGCAAGAGGTAGCTTGTGTGACTTCTCAACTTCCAACACCCGTGCAAACACTTGCCCCAAATCGCCACCATTTGATGGTTTCCTAAAAAACACAAAACATAGCAAATGGATGCCTTTCTGCTTCACCATCCCAGAGCGAGGTCCCAATGCCATTTTTGAGATGCGGGTTCCTGTTGTACGCATACTGCCCCACCTCTCCCCAAGACGGGGGGGGTTCTCTATCTCGAGCTCCATCTCCCTTCAGCTGAGTCGCCCTGGTGTGCGCTGGAAACCCCAGGATCTCTTTGCCTGCCTGCGAGATCCATGGGCGGGGGAGCCAAGCCAAGGTTGGTTTTCTTGAGGGTACCGTGCCCACCTTGGTTTGAAGGGAAACCCAACGGAGAACCGCCGTTGTTGGGTCCAAATCCCTATCTTGACACATACCCAGCTTGAGTGAGGGCTGGGCACCAGGGCAGAGTTTTGGCCCCTGGAGTAGGGAAACCATAGGGAAACCCCGTGTTTTGATCATCTTTGAGAAGCGCGGCACGTGGACAATACCCGAAATGACAGGGATTGTTTGATCGCCACCAGCAATGCACGAGGTTTGGGCCTGTACTAGGAGGGTTTCTAACAAACGGCAGGTGCGGGCGTTGCTATTCCTAGGACACAAGCAGAGCGCTGGTACAACCTTCGCTGAGCTGCTCGAATGTCCACATCGCTCACCAGGCCAGACATGGTAGTGCCACCCTTAGATCGGACAGAAACCATCGAGAAGCCGGCATGATGTAAGGCCATTCATGAGTGTCGACTCCTGATCAAATATATATATATATATATATATATATGTGTATATATATATATATATATATATTAGGCATATGTGTGTGCATCAGGGAGCAAGCTCCAAGCAGTGCCCCTCAACTACAACAGGGAGGGTTATGAAGAAGCGTCAACATTACCCAGCCAGAATGCAAGCAGTTTCGCGGGTCAACCAAACAGCTACCCCGACCCTTGCTCTCTTACCAATCCCCTTTGCCCTCCTTCAGCATTGTCCCTTCGCCTCCCTCCACTTCCTCCTTCCTCCCCTTCCCTCTGCTTACCTCGCACTCCAGTGTTATGCTGCCGAGCGGGGCACATGCTCAAACTCCCGGATGTTCCTGAGGCGTTGATGTGCAGAGTCGATGCACGTGCGAGTTTCTGACTTCTATCAATTGGATTTCAATATCAATTAGCCGGCACCGTTTGGGATGGATGAAACCCTATGAATCGAAGCTCCCAACTTTGACTCCCCCTCAAATTGGGGGGGCCCCAAATGCCAGTTGACATCACCTGCCAGATTGACCCTGCTCACTTAAATTTGGATCCCTCTTGAAAACAAAGCGGCCACTCTTGAGACATACTCGCCCACATACGGAACCCGCCAGAGGTCCCCTTTCAAAGGAAACCTGTCTCCAGGACTGAGGGTGCCCCAAACTCGACGAGGCTCAGCGATGGCTCCCAGCCACTGGTCACCTTCATGCCTGGAGGTGCACATAGCTGCTGGAAGGCCTTGAGGAGGACGTAAGACCCTGGGGCCGGGGGCGTGTTCTCTGGGAGTTGCGTTGAACCGAAGTCATTGAGACCCAACTTCATCTCCATTTCTGCATCCCACATCTTGCTGGGCAGGACATTGCCCTGAAACCAAGGACCTCAGACGATGCATGAAAAAACTCACTCCCAATTGTGTATTCACATCACACACCACAAGAAATGGGCCCATGTCAGTTCATGAGATCAAGAATCTCGGCTTCTGGGAAGCCAATCAGCTTCATAAAAGCCCAACCTCCAAAAGGTTCTGTTTTAGGCGGGGGGGGGTGTTCCCAACATTCACCTTGTGATAACCAAAATGGTTGTACGCAGCTTACAGCATGCTTTGAGCGCCCGCAGGACGTCCCCAAGTTCCAAGAGCCTCAAGGTGCTGTGCTCTTCCATGATCGCTGGGGTAGATGTGCCAATCACCCGACGCCAAAACTAAATCCCAGCCTTCCCCGCGCATCTCACCCAGGCAGCTCAGACATGCACAGGTGCCCGGCCGCAGAGTGCGTTTCTTTTTGGGCGGGGCACGAAGGTTCGATGCTTGGGGTGACAAGACCCAAAGCAAGCACGAACCCTTGTTTTCAGGGGTGACGCCAAATCAGACCAAAACGGGCCTTGTTCACATGTTTACTGTTGGCTGTGTCTGGGGTGCAGCGTGTGTGCTTGTCAGGCCTGCCTTTGGGCAGTCAATGGTCTTGCTGGAAACACTGCAGCTGCGGGCAGTGTTTGTTGCGTACGAGCTTTGAGATTGAAGCGGCAACGCCATGTCAAGCTTCCTGTCTTCATCAGCACCTCCCCAACTTTGTCAAGAACTTTCTAACCTGCTCGCGCGCCTCCAACCCACAAAGCAGCACAATGATCAGAGTATTCAAACCATGGCCCACATGTCTCTTCGACGTGCCCAGGCCCAAGGCATAGTTACAGAAGGCCGTCTGCTTCAGCGGCGCGCCTTGCATTGCGGCCTGTGCAAAGCGCTGGAAAAAGCAAGCCTGGCTGAGCAATCTGCAACTTGCCAGGCAGCTTCGGTCTTTGCCCTGGCTCCGCTCCATTTTAGGGGAACCCGTTGAACATATCGTGACAAATGCATCTTGGCTCACGCTCACTCGCACAAAGTTGCAAAGACCTGGCCTTTTCTCAACCCTAGTCCCAAGCACGCAGCCCCCAAATTCCAACGCAGTTCTGAGCCAAGCATGCGCGTTTGTCGCCAGCCCAAGCCCTGCAGGTCAGCCCAGCGTAACCAGCCAGCCTAGCCCATATCTGCGCGTTCCACAACGACAGTACGCCCGCAGATTTCGCAAATTCGAAGGCTTCCTTCCAGTTCCCGCATTAGTCACCATTCTGGCTCTTCCAGCCAACATCGCGGACAGCGCGGCCAGAGTGGGTGCAGGAGCTTTTGCTGCAGTGTGGCTGCGATGCTGGAAAGGCCAACAGCCTATATTGTACGCTCTGGCGGCTTTGGCCTCAGCGAGCTGCCCGGAAAAACAGTACGAGTCTCAAACAGTACTTTGAAGGGAAACCAAAAGAAGAAAACACAACTTGTTGGTGGTCCAAATCCCTATTTTGACACGCGGTGCTGGGTCCCGCGTGCGACATTCCTGCCTGGGGTGAGGGGGCTGTGGCGTTGGCGCCAGTCCTGGGTCCGTTGTCACAAAGCCCACGCCTGGGTTTAGCGGGCCTATCTCAAAATGGGGAACTTAGTTTAAGTCGAAAGGAAACCAACCAGCTTTCGAGTGTCACCCTAATTTTGAGAAACACCCAAGTGCCACCCTAAGGCTTGCTCAAATTTGTGAACCCTTTCGTAAGCCGCCGACTCCACCTCGCCGACGGAGTGCGCGAGGCACTGCATCACTTCAGGTGCTTCGGGGTGCGCAGGCACCTGAAGGAATGCCTTCAGCCCAACAGCTGGTACCGCGGTTGGGAGATTCATTCCTGCTTTCTATTTTGGGAAGACGTTGGGCGATTCAGCCCCCGTTCTCAACCATGGTCTAAACCACTACCGGCATTATAAAGTCTGCAAGCAGCCTCCTTTTAGTCTAGATACTCTTCTTTCAGCAATCATGGATCCAAAAGGATACTTCCAAAAACTTCCTGTCAGCTTCCATGATTGTTGGAAGGACGGCAACAACACAAGAATGTGGCTGCCAACACTGAGTCAAAATAAGCCGTAGGGACGGTTTTATAAGGGAAGCAACATGACATGTTCAGGCTTGCTGTTCATACCATAGCCTCTGCCCCAAAGAGGGGCACATGCCTATGATAACGTGGCTTCGGATGGGCCACCACTTTGATTTAGCGACAATTGCTTAAACAACCTCCTCTGCGATTCCCTTCAAAGGCAAACTGTGCTTGGTGGCTTCAACATTTCGCCCAACCCTGGCTGGTCTCCGGTGAACCAAAGGAAACTAGGCATCAAGAAATATGGGTGTGTCGTTCTTGGAAAACCCTGTTTGGGGCTGGTTTAAAGCGAAATCAAAGGGGGGAGGGGGGGGGGGGGACATTTGGTGTTTCCTTGAAATTAAGAACTAATCTCATCGAGGGCTCCCCTATTTGAGATAAACACCTTTGAGGGGTATCTCTTCCATGCGATCCCAGGCTGCCCTGCCGCGATCCCCGCATCTTTGTAGGCGCCGCCTGGTCACACTGCAGATAACCGAAAGCCGTCAGACTGAAATTACCTTCATGGGAACCCGTATTCTGGTTTGCTTCAAAACGGCCCCCACACAGCGTGCCCTCAAAAAAGCACACCCAGGCACATGGCGTTTCCAACTAAACTCACCCTTTGCACTTGGAGTTCAAATGAAACTATGGAGCAAAACCAACCACTTTGTGGGGGCCCAACCATGTCAGTAAACCCCAACTCGCAAACTGCACCAGGCTTGGCTTTGGCCCTGAGTGGAATACTCTTTCCAACAATCACACCGCTGAAAAACGATTGTCGTCTTCCAAAACCCCCTCTGCGCCATGATTGTTGGGAAGAGGGAACAAGATTTCGCGGCAGTCGCAAGCGCAACGTTCGGGATCGGCCATCGCTGACTCGGTTGCCTGTAAAGACCTTGATGCACTGCGAGCAAAGCAGCGACGCGTCGATGGTCCTTGGTCGCGCGGTCACTGGGAACGCAGCGGCAGGCAACACGTGGAGGGCAACTGTCCTGCAAATGAACATGAAACAAACATGAAACATCAAATATAGCCATAAAAGTAGGAGCTCATGCACTTTGGGGAGCCACACACCTGTCCGATGAGTTTCTCCAAAACGAGCAAGCTGTTGGCAACTGTTCGCAGATTGGGGCCTCGCGCCTCTCGCGGCAGAGCACCTTCGTGCCAGCCATTGCCTGCATGACATCAAGGGAGCCAACACAAGTCGCCTTGATTCCTAGCTTTCGCACCCCATTTGCCTGCGGCCAAAGCCCTCCAGCACGAGAAAACAAAAAAAACCCACACGTACCGGGCCTCTTCACGCCTTGCCTCTCCATACTGGGCAGGGCCGTCCTGCAAATGGCTCCCGTCGAAGGCAAAGCTCTGGCAACCACAAATTGAGGGGGGCCCTGGACCTCACAAAATGGGTCGTGTTGCTCCA